TGCATTAGGCCACATAAAAAAAAAATAGTTGGTTAGCGTCCCCGCCCGCCCACAAAAAAGGCCCCGCTCAGGATTTTTTTTTATTTTTTATTTAAAAAAATCCCGACTTTTATTGATCAACGGGCTATAATATATGTAGTATTTCTGTTGACTGTAGTCAATTGTGTTAATAATTTGCGAAATTGCGTGCGAAAATGACGGTATGAATTATATTTTGAAATATATAAAAAAATATCTGTACTCCGCAAGAAAATCCAGTTTCGGACCTAACAGTGAGTAAAACCAAGGCGTTAAAAATTAGTAAAAATTAAAAAAAAAAAGCGCCCGCCCGCCCACTTTTTGGCAAAAGCTAAGGACGCTAACCAACTATTTTTTTTATATGGCCTTACGCTCGCGAAAAATAATCATTTTTTGAGCCGAAAGCGGTTATTTTTACCGTGCGTAATACAAATATATACAAAATTTGCGAACTCTTCACAGGGCTATATTTTTTCATTTTACAACATTTTACAAACCAAATTTTGCAGTTTTACTCATTCTAAGATGCTCTTTCTAACTGTGGTGTTGGATTTCGTTCTTCCTTGCCTGGTGGCCGGACATTTTGCCGAAAGACACTTTGCCGAAAGACATTTTGCCGAACGGAAATTTTGCCGACGGACGTTTTGCAGAACGGACGTTTTGCCGAACGGACGTTTTACCGAATGGACATTTTGCCGAACGGACAGTTTGACGAATGGATATTTTGCCGAAAATAAAGATATCTTCTGAACTTTAAAGGTTCGCTTACACGGTCAAAGTTTCTGTGATTAAAGTCATTAATTGTCGATTTTGATTGTGAAGTATATAGTTTCGTTTTATATTCTTTCAAGTGTTTGACAAGTTTACCGAAAATTCGCGATATAAAGAATAACATCATTCAACATTCATGAATGTGATTTCCCGAGAACTGTGAATGTATTCTATGATTCTCGAAGTGAAATTCGCCTACGTCGTCTTTATATACGCTTGTTTGTTTACGATCTGACGTCAAAACACGTTCCTAACAAATGAGTCATCCGGTGCACAAACAAGCTACCAATAGTCAATATGGTTATGCACTGCTAACAACCATTATGCACTGCTCATGACCATTATAAGCACTGCTAATAACCATATAATGGTTATTTTACACAATGGTTGATAATTACACAGTTGAAAAATGAGTCACAGTCCCAAACATTTTGACGAAATAACATCTTTATTTTAAGCAAGTCAGCAAACTGTCCATTCGGCAAAATGTCCGTTGCCAAAACGTCCGTTTGGCAAAATGACCGTCGGCAAAATGTCCGTTCGGCAAAGTGTCTTTCGGCAAAATGTCTGAGTACCCTTGCCTAGATCAAAATTTAGTCTATAGCTATTCTCGTTTTTACAGTGCTTTTGTGAGCATGCATTGTTCCGAAGCCAAGAGCACAGCCGAGATGGCCGAGACCACTCTGAAATGTATTTGTATTTACATTCATCCCATTCGGCCCAGACTTCGGACTGGTCTGAGAAAGTTTTCGTCCCGGTCTCATGTAAACATCTGGCCGCAGTTGTTCAAAGCTGGATTAGAGCCATATCTATGCTTAGAGCTAACACTGGGTTAAGATTTAACCTGCTGTTTTTAGTTTCATGTATTTTTGCGCGTGTATTTCAAAACTTCAGAGAAGAAAACTCCTACTGATTCAGACAAGTTGTCAACAAGTTTGGAACAAGCTGTTGACAATTTGTAACAACCTTGTTGATATTATGACTTGTTCCAACAAGTCCGATACAGTCATAATTTAACAATATTGTTGCAACCTTGTCTCGACAACCTTGTAACATGCTTGTTATATCATGACTATATCAGGATTGTTAGAACAACTTTGTAACAAGTCTGGTAATGCCATCGAGCTTGTTACAAGTTGTTAACAGCTTGTTTCAAACTTGTTACAACAACGGGAACAAGCAGTGCGAAGACAACTTGTTGACAGCTTGTGAACAGATTTGTAACAACTTGTTTGCAGACCTGTAACGACTTGTGCGTTTTTACGTGTGTACGGGATCGGGAATACAAAACTGAACTAACTTTATTTACACTGGATAGCTCTATCAGTTCTAAACTGTTCTCCCTATAAAGTTCCACTACTCACTAGTTCAGCGATTCATAATTTGTTCAAATAATGGTTAGAAAGTAGTAGTGTTGTTGATATATTTAGGATCATTCATAAACAGCAACCCTCCCTCGTGATGTCACGAACACCCACGAGTTGAAGGCTTGACTTTCGCTTTAGTCGAAGGCATGATACTGAAGTAGGACGATGGGGGATTGTAGGGGTTGACCATTGGGATTGGTAGCACACCTACAGTATAAACCAGGCTAATACTTTCGCAGTTCATACCATATATAGGTCACTAAGCGTAACTGTGTGGTAACTATGGCCCAATACAATAAACCCTCCTGTGACCGGATATACTCTCCACTTCCGGTAAAGTGAATTACCGGAAGTGAGCGGGTGACGCGGCGAGGTATATATTTTGATATAAATGCCGACGTCGACGCTTGGAATAAAACGGAACATTTTTGACATGATATAAAGTTTCTAGATGCTTATTTAAAAAGTTCACGTTGCTTTATCTCAAACCGCATTTGTGGTCAGCCCTTTATGTTCGAACAATGCACTTATGTAAATTGGGGAACAGTATGACAAGAGAGCTCAGACATATATGTTCATTTTGACGTGTGTTGAGTATCATATTTCAATTTTTATTCGTGAACGTGTTTCGTAAAGGTAAGTGAACGCCTTCTCTATAGAAATGAACACGCTATGTGTCTAAAAGTGTGTTTATTACCTTCACAATTCGTTGTTTGAATCGTTATATGGATATAAATGAGTTCAATGTGTATTTTATAGGATTGTCGAAACGAGAAGTCATGGGCCGGCGAAGTTTGGTCGCTTCGAAATTTGTTTTGTTTTTAGCCGTTTATCTCGGCCTGTTATGCCCAATTTACGCACAGAATGGTACGAATAGCACAACCGCCAACAACACTTTATTTTCAAAGAGAAAAAACCTCACGAAAATTGAGTCCGTGAGTTGTGAATGGGCTGATGTTAGACCGTCGTACTCCATAATCGCGGCTGTTATAAGTGGATTTCTTATACTTGACGGAGCCGTACTGTGTTCGATTGGTGAGTATCAAAAAAAATTCATTACATCTCTTTAACGTATAGTTCCAAATTTAATATCGTGCTGTTAATGTAACTATTATTAAATCGACTAGTTTGCAACAATTCGGTTTCTTAAAGGTGGCTTTAAATTATGTCAGCAATTTGGGCTAATATTGTACGCTATCACACTTGAGCTTCGGACAGGTATGTTATACAGACGCCAAAATATTATATGTGCCGTCGTATATATTTATAGCACCTGTAAAATATATTGTTCGAGGGAATATTTGCTTAGTTTAAATAAGTTTTGATAAGAAAGTTAATATCGTTAGCGGTTTCGAATAGGTTTTATACAATATTAAATTTCTGAGACTTATTAAAAAGTCTTAAAACGGTTGCGTGACTTGCGTCAAGCTTGACTCCAAAAGTTTTGTTTTTAAATTTTTGTTCACACAATTCTGATCAAAGCATGCTTGTATGTTGTGAAATAGCAATTGCCATTTACTTTATATTGCATAACTTGTAATAGTGTTGCAATGAAGGAACAATTATAGAATATCTGTGGCCAATTTAAAGCTCAATACTGTTCTAATGATAGAAATAGTAATATTGTAGTAGCAGTAGAAAAGATAAATTTCAAGTTGTATAATGCCTAGCCCTTATCCAAACTCTTCCGTAAACTCGGACCTACCTATTCAACTAAATTTGATTACATATAGCCATGTCCAGAGCCTGAAATAACGGTCAGACAGTCTCCGACCAAATTACAGTTTTTCTGATCAAATGCCAAAATGATCAGCCATTTTGTCTGGACAAAAAAAGATGGCAGTCAGTTTTCATAAAAGAATAGGTTAACTGTAATCCTGTGTTTAACCATCTCGCAGAGAATACACACACAAAAAATACACACTTGTCAAATTTAAAAGCATTTAAACAACATTTTATATAGTGTCTAGCATAAAGTATTATTTATTGACAGACAGCTGTATGTGATCTGAGAGATACAACTACATGAAAAATATAAACAAAACTTCGGCATTTCAAGAGAAGGTGCTTTGTCAGGACTTTAGTAGCTCCTGACGTGATTTACCTAAAAGACGTAGGATGTCTATTATGAAATCAAACAAATTTCCGACAATGTCAGGTCAGAGCCATCATCATGGAAACATGATACCATTGTCAACATAGAGTTTACTCAAGTGGGATTTGAACTTGCATATTTAGCAAATAGGACAGTCCTGCTGAACAAATTGAATTATCGAGTCAACTGGAGGGAGCACATTAGTTCAAATCCATATTTAAGAGCATTTAATTTTTCCTCAATCTGTCCGAGGTAGTTCTCAGTCCAAAACAAAGACTGTGTTAATTCTAAGATTATAATTTTGTACGGTCTGTTAGGGGGTGTTTATATGGAGACGAGCCAACCCGGATACCCATGCTACCTCACTTTGCCAAGCTATTCCCATGTTGACATGAGATTTTTGAGGCGGTTGGCTTGCCAAAACAAACCACTGGTCTCACCGCTACAAATAGTATACTATAAACATATTTTTTACGAACCTGTAATTCGCACTTCTGTGAGCAACCTTCACGGATATAACCCACAAAGATGTTTTAATAAGATTGAAATCGGTTGAAAAACAACCCACTTTGGTGAGTCAGCCTTCATGCATTTATATGGGAAATTCCCAGTCCTGTAACCTGCGATCTCGGGTCAATCGAGGCAGATCTCGCTTGGGCAGGCCAGCATGGTTCCCATATAAATGCAAAAGGAATGTAGTAAGAAATAACAAAGGCAGGATCTCGCCTAAACCAGGCCAGCTTGGGTACCCGGGCTGGCTTGCCTTACATAAAAACCCCCTTAGGTAGCGATAATAACAAGACAGGCAGACAGCTGTAGATTGAGAGAGATATAACTACCTACAAAATATATGTACAATCAAAACATTGATTCCGAAACAAGATTTGAATTGTAATGAAATTGATAATATAATGATTATTTTCGGTTTGTTTATAAAAGATTCAGAAACAACAGGAGGAGAGAAATATGTTTTCTATTCCATTGGATTACTGGGCTAATGTGTTACTGGTCTAATGTGATGTCCTGAGTAACTAAGTTTTTAATACAGTATCCATATATCAGGATACAGCAAATTTCAAGCCTTCGTTAACTATTGTCAATAATTGTTAATGAGGGGCAAGTAGATGGGACTTGCCACCTTGAAGGGGATGTTTTTGAGCCTGGGTTAACTTCACAGTGGGATGTACTGTGGATCAAAATTATTCAGGTTGGGGGCATTTCGCTTTAAAAATGTGGTGGGATTTTTAAGTTTTGAAGAATCATGATTCCAACTTCCATGGGTGAATTCTGTTTTAAGTGCCTGATTTTTCTGGATTTTCAAAGGATTTATATATGTACTTATTAGTGTGCAGGATTTTTGGAATGAATTCAGGCCCTTAGAAATATCTTTTACAGTGCCGTCTGACAAAATGTCCAGTGACTTTGAATTTGGGTCGGACAATATATGTATGATGAATTGTCCAGTCTGCCTTCAAAATAGTCTGGCTTTAGTCTGGCTTGGAAATAAATCTGAATAACACAAATTAACATCAGCACATTGATTATGTATTAATTTTGAATTATGGTAATTGTTGTGAAATTAATCATTTGTGCCAATTTCTTATTTCCAAACCAAAATTAACTTTCTTGCCAATAACAGCAGTACTAAGACTTTGATAACTTCAGGGTCGCTTTCCACTTCACCATTTCGCTTGCCACTTGGAAATGTTGCTGTGCTGCTTATGAAATTTTGTTGTTATTTTCTAACTTTTGCTTGTCACTTGCTGTTACAATTTAGACAAACATATTTTACCCCAATGTGCCCTACTTTGATCAACTTTGTCATAGTGTCAGAGTTTCTGGGTAATGATGTCATTAGATGAATTTTGAAGCCAGTAAAACAAAGGAAAAGTATTCAGTGCAATTTATCTAATGACATGAAATTTTGACAGTGAAGAAGTTGGTCAGGTTGAGGTTTTTTACTATAAAGATATATTACATTTCTTTTTAAAATAACCTATTAACCCTTTAAGTTGCAATGCACAAGGATGCACCCTACTTTAGTATTTTATTCTGTCTAACGCTAGACGATTTTACTTGTCAAGTGGAGAGTGCCGCCACTCAATGGGTTAATGTGTGTGCTATAACTTTATTTCAGGGTACAAACAAGAAAGAACATCGTTTAGTTTGCTTGGCTTTACAATTGCTGGTCTTGTTGGATATGCTATTGTTGAATACAAGTTTGACTACAGTTTGGGAATACAGCTGCTCATAACAGGCTCGATTGCTTTATTTGTCTCTATACTTTGTTCAAGTGTTATGTACTGTGGGATCTTTCTAACCGGCCTAGCCACTGGCTTTTGTTTAGGCTCTGTGGTTATTGTTATAATCACAGAGATTCATACCTTCGGCTCGTTTGCCGAGCCCATCTTGATTCTAATGGGTCTCGGCATTGCCTTTGCGAGCGCCTCGCTTTGGTGGAAACGGACATTTGTTATACTTGGTACTTCGATTGTGGGCGGGGCATTCGTAATGGGCGGGATGGATTATTATGTTGAAGGATTTTTATTCGTTGAGTATGTTCAACATATAATTTACGGACAGGAATTTCGAAAGCTTTGCTACTTTTCGTGGATTGTCTTCAGTATTTTTCCAGTTGTGGCAATTGCAGGTTTGCTGATTCAGCATTTTAAAACGGCAAAGCTCAACAAGAGGCAGAAGTCTTCAAGTACTCAAGCACTGGCAATGAATAGACTCTCAGAGACTTCACATCAATATCGGGTGTGAAAATCAGAGGTGAATAATGTCAATACCCAAAGATAAACATATGCCCCCTTTTAAACTGTTCTTGCCCAATAATACTACTTACATGAAATTTCACAGTACATGCCTGGCTAGGGGTTTAATGTATGTTGGTATTTTAACCATTTTGGTATACAGTATTTTATTGTTAATTAAAATAGGTTGAAATGTGGGTATAAAATATCCTACATATACCCAAGATTAAGTACTCCGACAAACAGACGTAGCCTGGAATTTTAGGTATACAGTGTATTTTGAGCCAGTATTATTGAGTACCGTATTTACTCGTTTAAGCGCCGCGGCGCTCTTTAAATTTTCAGAGCTTCAGATGCGGCGCTCAATCGGGGGCGGCGCTCTTTAAAAAAGATTTTATTTGTGAATTATAACAAGAACTTTTAACAATGAAATAAACAAGTTTTAAATGTCTTTGTCACAAAATGTCCCCATTTTGACCGGGGACAGTTTTTACACTGTTTAGTGCGGCGCTCATTCGGGGGCGGCGCTCTTTAAAAAAATTTGATCTCAAATGCGGCGCTCATTCGGGGGCGGCGCTCAATCGAGTAAATACGGTATATTTGTATTCTGGTAACACCCCCCCCGTTAGCTGGGCTTGAACAATAAGCTTCTCGAACACAACAGTAAAACTAAAATCCTGCATATAAGAACCTACCATTTCTCCAGGTTAGGGACAGGATGAATTGGTTCTTATATTTCGCTCAGAATTATTAAACTGTAAAAATTAGGTACACTTTCGCTTTTTAGAACCAATATACTTACGGGAAGGAAAAATAAGGGAAGCAAAAAGAAATTTGCCCAACTTTTTTGCATTTCGCCTGGCCTATCCAAAAATATTTCTGTGCACAATTCCCAAAATTCAGGCTGTAGCTTTGTAATCTGCTAGCTTCTCTTATATGCAGGATTTTATTGCTGTACCCTTCATAATTTTAGGTGGGTACTTTAACTTTTGGAGTTGAATTATTAGAGATCATATCCCAGATATAATATATTAAGAGCTATATAACTGATCCTTGATTTAGTTGGGACCTGAGTATTTATAACTTAATTGTGGTTAATAATTGATGGTATAAAGGTTGTATATTAAAAGCCAATAGAATTTTAAAGGTGATCTACAGTCCGTATGTAAACAAAGCCTTTGTTTACATTTTTGTGTCCAAAATATTGAGCTTTATTCGACAACTATTTATATTTTCGAGCTTCTAGAGTATAATAAATGATCAAGAAACAACAATCAGGCTTTTCAAGAACTCAAAACATAGTTAAACTGTTTGTATCATAAAAAGTGGGCTCATTTGTGCACATGCGCAGATCGGACTGTAGATCACCTTTAATGAATATATCCACGTAATATAGAAACTTTATAGGGGAACTGATTTCACATACAATTTATGCATACATGACCATACTTGTCTGTGATGTCTTTTAACTGAGAATTTTTTTAATTCTGTAATATATTTTTCACGTTAAATTTGATATATTGGTAATGTTACTATACATTCAATTTTATTGTGAACTTTGTATATTATGTGATTATGGTATTATTAATATATTTCCATAGGCATAGAATTTTTATTTCCACCTTGTCCTTGTATATTTTTTGCACATGCATTCTACAGTTACAGGGCTAACCAGGTTGGGTAAAGTTCATTTGATAGAGGGCTGAGCGTGAAGAGTGATCGATGACTTTTTCTGGGGGAGTTTTTCACTATACATGATGAGTGTTCTGGAACGTGATGAAAACGGAGCGCCTGGTGGCTTCGTGTGCACACGAACGCCGTTACTTTTTTTGTACCTTTTGCATGCAAACCAATTATCTCAGGTATGAAAACAGTAAACTCGAATGCTTTTCGTTTAAATTTCTTTGCTCTATTTGAAATATTATGAGCGCTAAATTAATTATATATAGATAAAATCTATATATGGATTAATTGGCATAGCCGTAGGCTACTCTTCTAATCTATAACGTAAAATATGTTCGTATATAAGCTTTTCATTAGTCCTATACCTGTCGCCGAAAGCTCGTCTAGTGGCCGAAAGCTCGTCTAAATAAGTACTTTTGGTCAATGAACGTCTCGTATTGTTATGCCTTTACCGCATGACCGCGCTTCGTCCATGATTAACCATTCTAAGCGCCAGCAGGGGCGCACATTCAACAAATTGCAGATGTCTCAAGGGGACGATCTGTGACCGATTTTCTAGTATTCTACAACCTGTGGCAGCGGAACAGGTTTTATTGGGGGGGGGCTAAGATTTTCAGCCAAGTACAAACACAACACGCAAAACATGATTGAACTGTAACAGAGTGGCATAGTAGAAGCGGTGACTAGGGGATCCGGGGGCATGCTCCCGCGGGGAAAATTTGCAAAATTGAGGCTCGGAAATGCGATTTCCTGCACTGTCCGGCACCGAGTTGAAGAATTTGGATGAAAAATGCTCCTGTCCACACCAGACATTTGTGGCTTGTCAATGTGGATTAAACAACTCTCATGGCAGATATTTGGAATCGACAGTCTCAATCAAAACTGGGATCGACTTTGCGATTTTCGAGTGCTGTGGGGTTTACACCCCCCAACCCCCCGCCCCTCCCTAATGTGCGCCCCTGAGCACTAGCGCTCTCCCTTGACGAAATAATAAAGTAGGGCGCAATGCAGGTTAATTATCGGGATCTCATAGAGCTGTTGAAGGCCTGTTGTCCGCCAATGATTTGGAGAGCATTTTGTTGTGTTTCTTTAATATGTCTAGACATGCACATGCAGTAATTTCAGAAGGATATCAGAATTTCAGGAGACGCGGCCCCCTTTTAATGGAGCTGTTTTGGTCATTTTGGCTGTGCCATATAACAGTAACCACAACAATTAAAAAGGGTTAAAAAAATTGTATTTACAAGTATGACATCATACCCAGCCTCGTACCCAGGCGCAAATAACGTACTAAAAAACAGCAACACTACAGTTTTTTTTATATAGATCAGTGGCTGAGCGAGCGCGCGGGGGTGCTTGGGGAGGACTTGGGAAGCGAGGCGCCTGGCAGAATTTGTAACAAAC